CCCCCCCCCAAACTCGAAATTTTAATAAGTCAAGAATGAAGTGAGGTCTTATAGCTCGTTTTTAAATTGGTAAACTCACACATGAATAAGAGTTACTTTTGCACTCGGGAACAAAATATTTACCTTTGGCCATACTTGAGAGAATATGGATAATATGGGATTTGTAAGGGAACTGTACTGCTTCCTCCTCTTCATCATCTTCATCCTTAATTCAGTGCTTAGGATCAGGATCAGTTGGAACCGCAACATTTTGGCTTCTCCTGGATCCGAATCCGCAAAAATATGCGGATCAACGGATCCTGATCCAAGGGGCAAAAATATCAACGAAAAATTGCAAACCCACATCTGAACTGTTGAAAAAAAGAGATAACAAAAATATCCTGATCTCTGAATGGTTCATCATAATCATAAAATAAACGAATAAAGCTGAAAAATGATTTAAAATTTTTATGTTCAGAAAATTAGTAACAACAATTTAAGAATTTGAAGAAATCTGCGTACAAATGTGCAAGGAATAGTTTACTGGTGATAACGGAAATAATTAATTCTACAATTAATTCCTTCACAAATTTCTGTTGACAAGTTACCTGCGTGATGAGAAATCTTATAAGAAGTTTCAGTTCTCCAGCAGAAAGCGAATGTTGTCCTAAAAAAGAATTCCATGTAAAAAATGGCAAAAAAAGAGGTAAAGTTTAGATAAAACCTAGATGTTCTATAAGTTTAAATTAACAAACCTGTATGTTCTATAAGTTAAAATTAACAAACCTATATGTTCTAAAAGTTAAAATTAACAAACTATATATACAACTATATATATACAACTATATATATACAACTATATATATACAACTATAGATACAAAACTCCTGTGCTCTTCAGAGCATCCTAACAAAGAAATAAAATCATAGCATTACATTATTTCTGCAAGATTATGTTTCCTTAAACTTTATTTCTNTAAAATAAACAAACCTATATGTTCTATAAGTTTAAATTAACAAACTAGATGTGCTAACAGTTAAAATAAACAAACCTATATGTTCTATAAGTTTAAATTAACAAACTAGATGTGCTAACAGTTAAAATAAACAAACCTATATGTTCTATAAGTTTAAATTAACAAACCTAGATGTTCTATAAGTTTGAGTAAGTATTCAGCGCTAGATTTCTGCAATCTCTGATGGACCTTCAAAGTTTCAACAAGGTCCTTCAAGATTGAACAATATTATAATAATAAAAAGCAGACTATTAAAAATCAGACTGTTCATTAATCTTCATCTTACTTTACTAAATAAAGACTCTGAGAAAGGCTTTCATAGCTTGTAGAAAAGGGGTAGATTAGAAACTTTAAGAACGAGTTGTGGAGAACATAAGTCCCATAAATCTAAAGTTTTCAGGGACCTGAACTAGACATCCAGGCAATAAGCTATTTATTTAATATTGTTCCTTGATAAGTCCATGAACAGAACACAGCATCTTATTCTGTAGTGNTCTAGTTAAACTTCTAGTTAAACCTCTAGTTAAACCTCTAGTTAAACCCCTAGTTAAACCTCTAGTTAAACCTCTAGTTGAACCTGTGGGTAAACCTCTAGTTAAACCTCTAATTAAATCTATAGTTAAACCCCTATTTAAACCTCTATTTAAACTTCCTGCCAAACCCCAAGTTAAACTCATAGTTCAACCTCTAGTTCAACCTCTAGTTCAACCTCTAGTTAATCCCTAGTTAATCCCTAGTTAAATCCACTGTTAATCCCTAGTTAAATCCACAGTTAATCCCGTAATTAAACTTACAGTTAATCCTGTAGTTAAACCTATGAATACCTAGTATTGAGTACAGAGTATTGTAATCAGGAGCTCCGCAACTAAAATTTAGTGCATAATTTTCAAAAACTAAAATTTCGGATCATGATATTTAAAATAATATTTGAAATAACTCTATAATTGGACTCCTTGCTGCAAAATTTGTTCAATCAAACATTTTTTAAATATTTAAGGTGTGAAATCAAACAAATTAAAAACCATTGACCAATGATGAAATGGATTAAAGCAAATAGAAGACACTTGTAATTTTGAATGACCCTTCAAAAGTGGCATGTTCGATTCACAACGGTATTAAAATTTCTGCTTGAACACTACAAATTCCAATACCTATGAAATACTAGTGGTAATTGTGGTTCCTCTGTCAAATTGCATTGCGGATTTATGTTGCAGAAAAAAATGAAGGAATCTGTCAGAATCAAACACAGAAAAACGAGATCTTCATCGTTGTTACTTCAATAAAGACAGAAGGGTACTGTTGTGTATAGAACATGGGTCACTGAAATATCTGCTGAATTGTTGTAAACTATGATTCCTGTTGACGAGGTCGAAGAGCCGAGTATACAGGGATTCCTTTTCCATCAGGTTCTGCGCATACTCACAATCTTTCAGGACCAAACTAATTAATCAATCAATCATTCAATCAATCAATCAATCAATCAATTAATCAATTAATCAAGTACTCACTCAATCATCAATCAATCATTTAATCATCAATCAATCATTCCCTCAATCATTCAATCATTCTATCAATCATTAAATCAATCATTTAATCAGTCATTCAATCAATCATTCAACCAATCATTCTATCAATCAATCACTCAATTTTTCATTCAATCAATCAATCAATCATTCATTCCATCATTCATTCATCCTTTCATTCAATTAATCATTCTATCAATCATTCAATAAATCCTTCAATCAATCGATCAATCAAATTAATCAGAAAATCAAAAAATCCATCACTAGATAAAAATTCATTTATTAGATCAGTTAAATTGATAAACTTTTACATAAAGTTTTAATCAATTAACTGATCATGAATCCATCTCTTAAATTATTAAGAAAAAAAACATGTCAATGGATTTCCTTCAATCTCGATCATTCAATCAATAATTCTAGAAAAATATTTTTAGAAAAAGTATTGACTAGATAATTTGCCTAAGAACTCACAAGATAATGGAAAACCATTATTCCAATTAAAAGAAAAATACTGAAAATATTGAAATATAAAGTAGTTTTTTTTTAATTTAACTGTGTCTAGGATGCAAACCTTTATTTGGTATGATAATTTTTGTAAATATCATACCAAATATTTTTTCTAAGTTTTTAGCATATTTTACGTATTTTTTGGTTTTTTCTATGCTTAAAAAATTGCATTTTTAGAGTTAAAAAGTTTGAAGCAAATACTGTGGAATACGATGCCTGGCCGCGTTAAACAAGTTCCACATGATTCAACAGAATGAGATAGAACGGATACGGGGCATTAGTACTGATATCATCTCTACAGTCTACACGTGCGATATCGATATTGACTCTAGTTCTGAACCCTCTAGTAATAAGTTATAAGAAATATATATACTGGAAGTTATTTATGCGTTTTTATTAGAGTCTGACTCACGTCCTCTATAATACGTATATTTTCGTAAATTTCATGCTAACAAGTTTCAATATATTTACGAAACCTCAACTGCAAAAAAATGCATTTTAAAGTTTGAATTTAAATATATATTATGATTTTTCAAGAGAATTGGTATGTAAGAAATTTAATGCACATTTTGGAAAATACAATGTTTAAAAATTTCTATCATTTTGGAGTAAATTGATGTTTTCATTAGAATCAAAGTAAGTAAATTATCGATTTTTTGATAAATTATAGAAGTTCTACTTAGACAGTTTTGTAGAATGGTATAATGGTAAGAGTATGAAATAAAACAGATATTGATTAAATTGAATACGTAATTGTTGAAGATAAAGCAAAAATGCATATATGAATGTTGATAAAGATGGATACAGATGAAGGAATGATGATGGTGTGAATGTGTGTAGAAGAATATTGGATTGGATTGAAACTAATTGATATCTATGAATTTAAGAAATTTTTGGAATTAGTTGTATAGATATGAAGGGACAATGTGTGAAATGTATAGTCCACTTATTAACATTTTGGTTTTAGAACTTTTATGCCTTAAAAATACTTATTTTTACGAATAGGTTAAAACAATAAATTCCAAAAATTAAGAAATGTTAGGATTTTTTCGAACCTAAATCTACGCATTTTTACGTTTGTCCTATACAATAATTGGTTACGAAAATACGTATGTCATATGGATGGAAAATACGTATTTTTACGAACTTCCAAACCTAAAAATAGGTATAAATACGAATGTCTTACGTAGTTTAAAGTTTTCCGGTTAGTAGGGTAAATGCAAAATATTGATTTTTTACTTATCATAAAAAAATAGTATTTAAACTTCCGCTCAAAAAAAGCATTTCACACTGCCAACATGAAAATAAGAAAAGAAAAAGCTGAAAAAAATATCAGACTGCAAGGGGTCCCTCCGGCCTCCCCCTCCCCATTCAGAATGAAGGAGGGGGAGGGGGTTCACGCTACATTTAATAGAAAATCTTCACCTTATTCTATTAATAACAACTGGTAGTAAGGTTCGCTTCTGGTTTACATGAAGACGACAATTCTCAATTACAAGCATGAAGTTACTAACTACACCTCGTCTACAGGTAAAGCACATATTTACCAGAATTTACAATAATGACAATTTTTTTAAAATTGGAAATTTAAAACTCCATCATATTTAATAGCAAAAAAATGACTTCGACAGTTGGTATTTTCGAAACAAATTGAAGAAATAAATCAAATAATGATGTCAGGTCAAAATGTGTTTTTTCTTTCCTTGCAAACAGCTCTTGAAGTTCAGCAGAGTTTTTAACCTGAGAAAATAAAAAAATAAGTCACGATTATTGAAAACCGAAAAATTAGCTCCACAACGACATTTTTCTTAAATATTTAAACTATTTCAAATTGAACTATTTCACAAAACATCGGGAACTATAAGGTTGATCTTTGTGCATACTGCACTGTGAAAGGCTTGTTAAAAATATTCTTTAAACGGACTGTAGACGAAATATCAAGTGATTCTTTATTTAGAGTGGCATAACTGATTCACAAGGTAACCCTTAAAAGCTTTGTATGATAGAGAAGAAATGAGATAATCATGTTTTTCTCTTTGAAAACTGATAAGTTTAAATTGTGGTTTATTATTAAGGTAACTTGCGGATTTCTGCTGCAGAAATCTTTAGTTGAATCTAACCTTGGCGTTGTATAATAAGGTTGGTTACTCTCGGTGCGCTCCAATGGACGGAAAAGGTCGTCTCCTTAGATAGATAGAAACTTCATATGACGTCATCGCCTCTATAATCAGTGACGTCATATGATGTTTTTATCTATTTATCTAAGGAGATGACATTTTCCGTACATTGGAGGGCATCGAGAGTTACCAACCTCGTATAATTCCGAACCTGAAGAGTTCTGGTGAGAAGAGAGAGGCCCTCGACCAGGGTTGCGAGGCTGACCTCTGGTTTAGAGGTTAGAGAGAGGAGGATCTGTTGGTACTGATCAACTACCAGGCTCAAATCTATCTGTCTCCCTTCAAAGGGTGTCTCGTGCAGGATCCTATTTTAAAAAAAATTTGTTTGATTTTTTTCTTCTCTACTATATCTACACTCTTCCGTCATCATCAGGAAGACCCGGAATTAATTGACAGTTCATAAGGCGACATAAAATATTTATCTTGACTTAAAAAGAAGCAACTCTCTAAGTATATTTAAAAATAGACTACTAAATTTTTTTTTTGAAAATTAAATTACAATGTGTTATAAACCAAATTGCTATTCATGTAAAACTAATTAGATATGTTTTAATATGCTTTGATATTTGTTGTGTACATGTCTGAAAATTACCTTAAACTCAAGTTATTCGAATTAATGTATAAACTATTTTGCATAAGATAAATTCGCACCCTGATCTCTTATAGTTCTCCATAAATCTATTTAATTGAAATGTGTTGTTATCATTAAAAAATAATCAAAACAGCCAAGAGCTATTTTCCACCTAATTGCTTTATACTTGTACTGTTAATATAATCACCAATTTGTAATTGTAAACTCTATCTGTACACAGATAAATGAATTTTAGCAATAAACTTTATCTTATCTTATCTAATCTTATCTCGGGCAATTTTAAATACTCAAAAAAGGCAGACCCCATTTTGGAAACAGCAGGACTAGGGGCTATTTAGTGATTATCGTTTCATCAATCACATTCGTAAAATTAGATTGTAAAGTCGTCTGATTAGTTGTAAATTGATTCCGAGTTTTACTTACTATGATCGTATGTATTTAAAATAAAGAACTTCTCTCATATAGATATATAAACATTTATATTTTTGTTAGCAATACCTGGCCATACGGCTGGACAAAATTGGCTGAAATTAATTGAAAAAATCCTGGGGGTAAAATAGTCTGTTTTTTCTTTCCAAATTTGAATTTTTGTATTTTTTAAGTGTTTTTTAAACTCCATGGGTAACGCCAGGTATTTCAGCTCGTTACTTATATAAAATAAAGTGTATGTAAAACAAAACTATATTTATTATCTATTTTAAAATTTTTACTTATTGTTGGGAGTTGTTTTAATCCATTTGAAAACAACAAACTAAGAAAATATAAGATAAAAGCCTAAACAAAGCAAAACCAATTGCTATAATTTTAAGAATTGAGTTAAAAGTGAACCTTATTGATTTTGACGAGCAGTAGATGGCGTTAATATGAATATCCTGACTGGTTTTAGAATCCCGAACTGTTTTCAGTATCATCTTGGTGGTAGCCGGGGATATTGCAGACACTGCATTGTGTTGACTTCCTAATAGATAAGACGACATTGGCATTCTAGTTTTCGCCGGGGGGGGGGGTTCTAGGTACTTTCCCCCACCCCGCCGCGCACAAAGAAAAACGTTGCGTAAAAAACTAAGAAAATTTGTAAGTTTTTTCTTAATGACGTATTTGCACATCTCAGAGACTAGCTTTCTTAAAAACAAAAACAAAGTCGGCAAACAAACTCTGGAACCACTTGAACGATTTGCATCAAATTTTGATTAGGGAACTCGGGAGACCCACGGGGAAATAACAACTATGAATACCCTGGGCAACGCTGGGTTATTAAGCTAGTACAAACATAACATTGTTTATTTGTAATATATTTAAATCTTTGTTCTGAAAAATCTACCTGATATAATAGCTCCAAATACGGTTAAAAGCTCATGGCCAATCTACAATTTTACAAGAAATGAGAAAACATGATATATCTATTTTTCCCGAAAAATCTTACAATCCCCCCCCCCATTTTTTTTACGAATTAAAACCCTTAACCTTCATGTCAAAATGAATATAATGAGCAACATTTCTACAATTTTTACAAAAGCTAAATTTTTATCAGACATGTTACACTTTCAGAATGTTTCATGCATGGGGCTGAACTTTAATTACTAATTAGTTCTTGTGTTGCGCAAATTTTTACTTTGATCTGGCTAGAGTAGTTCATGTCATTTCATAAAGAATATATGATATACAGAGCGTCCCATATTATATTGAATTATCTCCAAGCTGCCAAATTTCGCTAAAACTTTTTTTCTTTTTATAATTATTTTAGAAACACTTTCCGACCGTTAAAAACTTACCTCTGGAAATGAATCTACTAGGGCGGTCTCGAAGGATTCATAAAGAAATGGAATAGTAACAGGATGCAGGAATACAGGGCATTCTAAAATCTAAAGTAATGGAATGGTAACAGGATGCAGGAATACAGGGCATTCTAAAATCTAAAGTAATGGAATAGTAACAGAATGCAGGAATACTGGGCATTCTATAATCTAAAGAAATGGAATAGTAACATAGAACAGAATACTGGGCATTCTACAATCTAAAGAAATGGAATAGTAACAGGATGCAGGAATACAGGGCATTCTAGTAATGGAATAGTAACAGGATGCAGGTATACAGAGCATTCTAAAATCTATAGTAATGGAATAGTAACAGGATGCAGGAATACTGGGCATTCTAAAATCTAAAGAAATGGAATAATAACAGGATAAAGGAATACTGGGCATTCTACAATCTAAAGAAATGGAATAGTAACAGAATGCAGGAATACTGGGCATTCTATAATCTAAAGAAATGGAATAGTAACATGGAACAGAATACTGGGCATTCTACAATCTAAAGAAATGGAATAGTAACAAAATGCAGGAATACTGGTCGTGGACATTCTACAATCTAAAGACAAGGAATAATAACAGAATGCAGGAATACTGGGCATTCTGCAATCTAAAGTAATGGAATAGTAACAGGATGCAGGACTACTGGGCATTCTACAATCTAAAGAAATGGAATAGTAACAGGATGAAGGAATACTGGGCATTCTACAATCTAAAGAAATGGAATAGTAACAGAATGCAGGAATACTGGGTATTCTACAATCTAAAGTAATGGAGAAGTAACAGGATCCAGGAATACAGATACGATTCAAAATAAATAAATTATCTACATATATATGTTAAGTAGTAATCTCTGTTTGTTTGTTTGTATGTCCGATCATAACTCAGGAACTCCTGGACCAATTTACCTCAAATTTTGATTGGAGAACTCAGTGGCAGCACGGGAATGTTATTAGCTTGGTTTAAAATTTCTAATTTGATTGGATTGCCTTACAAGGTGAAAGTTTAGTTTCCGTTCAAATGTTCTATACCTGTAGGCCTTGAGTCTCTTTCCCGCAAAGGTATCCTCTCCAACGGAAAAAAGGATCGTATAAAGTTTCTAGACAATCAACTGTTCAAGGAATAATATAAAATAACGGAAAGAAGGATCGTATAAAGTTTCTAGACAATCATATAAAATAACGGAAAGAAGGATCGTATAAAGTTTCTAGACAATCAGCTGTTCAAGGAATAATGTAAAACAATGGAAAAGGATCGTATTAAGTTTCTAGACAATCAACTGTTCAAGGAATAATGTAAAACAATGGAAAAAGGATCGTATTAAGTTTCTAGACAATCAACTGTTCAAGGAATAATGTAAAACAATGGAAAAGGATCGTATAAAGTTTCTAGAGAATCAACTGTTCAAGGAATAATGTAAAACAATGGAAAAAAGGATCGTATAAAGTTTCTAAACAATCAGCTGTTCAAGGAATAATGTAAAACAATGGAAAAAAGGATCGTATAAAGTTTCTATACAATCAGCTGTTCAAGGAATAATGTAACATAACGGAAAAGGATCGTATAAAGTTTCTAGGCAATCAACTGTTCAAGGAATAATGTAAAACAATGGAAAAAAGGATCGTATAAAGTTTTTAGACAATCAGCTGTTCAAGGAATAATGTAACATAACGGAAAAGGATCGTATAAAGTTTCTATGCAATCAACTGTTCAAGGAATAATGTAAAATAACGGAAAAGGATCGTATAAAGTTTCTAAGCAATCAACTGTTCAAGGAATAATGTAAAACAATGGAAAAAAGGATCTTATAAGTTTCTAACTGTTCAAGGAATAATGTAACATAACGGAAAAGGATCGTATTAAGTTTCTAAGCAATCAACTGTTCAAGGAATAATGTAAAAAATAACATCTTGTAATTGTATTAGATTCACTGAAATATTTATATTTCATAAGATGAAAATCGATCAAATGAAAAACTTTAAAGGTTGTGTTGCTGTAATTCTAAGTTACTCTCTATTTAAAGAAAGTATGTAGTTTATAGAACCCTAGTGTAGCGGGGAACCAATGAAGCTTGTCAGACAAGGCCACTTATGGAAAACTTGCCTAGCTAGTAGCCATTGAAGTAGTAGCTTGTAGTATAGAGCAGTGGCCTGGCCAGAGGGCCATAGGAAATATTAAAAGGAAAACTTTAGTCGTATTAATACCAGGCTGTAGATCCAGGCTTCGGTAGTTTGAGCTTCACGGCTCGGCTACCGCCACTCGGGCATAACAGTATCATTGCACATGTCATGCTAACTCTGTGATCCATGCACCCGGGAATGGGGCTCTGGGTTGCAGGGAGGGGTGGTTACCTGGTAACACTTGTGTTATTGGGGAGTCATAATAGATAGACAGATGTCTGGATTGAAAAGTGATAAATTTGGTTAATTTCTGCATTGTTTCTGAAGCAAGAAACGCGCTATTCACTTTCAAAGACTAAACCCGAAACTAAAAATTATCAGTTTTCCAAAACTAAAACATGGATATCATACTTGATCAGACAAAGCTTTTAAGGATAATTGTGGTCTTTATATGTATATAAAGTGACTTGCGGATTGCTGCTTACAGAAACAATGGAGTTAATTATCACAATTTAACACTAAATTCAAGATAAAAAACGACGACATCATTTTTGATCAGATACAGGTTTAAATAAAGGATACCATTGTGAATCAGGCATGCTCCTTTTTCACTCTTTTTCTAAATGGAGGGTCCCTTTAAACTTGTTTTTAAAAAAAAATATAAATATTAATTTTTTTCAAGTATCCGTCAGTTATTGCTAGCCTAAAAAATGACAACTCTCAACAATGGTTGCGATGATGGCAGATCTTAACTTCTGATTATTGACAGCAGAATGCACTCTGAAAATATAAAAGTTGGGGTTTCAATCAAACCCTACATGCAAAGATGACAATGCCCGATTCACAATGGTACCCTTAAAACCTTTGTCTGAATGAATACAATCTTAAAGTTTTTGATTTTGAAAACTGTTTATTTCAATTGTGACTTCTCTTCAAAAGTGACTTGCTCATTTCTATTGCAGGACAATCTATAGAAATGATCAAAATTAAACACTTTTAAGCCTAGAAAAACAACAATATCATCCACCTTATTGATCAGATAAAGGTTTCAACTTTCAAGGGTACCGATTTGAATCGGCTTTTGTCATCATTGCATGGAGTTTCACTTGAAATGACGCGTACAATACTTTTAAGTAATTATTTCTTTCCGCGTATTTGATATTGTTACAGCCAAAACACGAGAGATCATTGAGATCAGGATCCAATATTACATCATATTCAAAATAATTAGAAAAAGTTTTTGATTGTCAATTGTTATGTTGGACGTTAAATGATTTAGAGGGGAGGGGGGGGGAGGTATCACCCCCTGTTGCTCGAATATGATTGAATGATTAATAAAACGTCCTACTTTGATGAGAAGAATGTGGATTCCATCTCCAGGAGATGCTGCAACAGTAATGTGTTCAGCTGGGTCACATGACTAACGAATTCCATACTTCCAACTAGAAAATAAACAACATGGGTATATTGTACCCCATACAAGGTGTCCCAAAAAAAACGTTTTTTTTACGTACTAGAGCATTCATCAAGGTTTATTTTTTTTCATTTTTAAGACCTACGTAATATCTCCGATCAGTGAAGACCATTTGGAGGTTTTTAGCATCAAAATTAAGAAGTTATGACATTTTAAAAATTACATTTTTGGCTCGGTCGAATTCAGCAATATGTGCTTAAGAGCGATACAGATACGAGCTGCAAAATGCGTCGTGACCATGTGCTAAGAGAGCGATACTGCTACGAGCTGCAAAATGCGTCGTAATTTTGTACACAAAAATAAACCCCTACATTATTGTTTTAGGTTTCTTTTCAATACATTCCTTTTGCTTCTTATTTTTTTTTAATTCAAGCAATGGTGCAAGTGGCATTTTTGTTGAATCTTCATAAAGTAATGCTTTAAGTAAACAGAGGCCGAACTTAAATAATTTAAACCGCGTCACTGAACCACCAATAACCGGTTCCAATTGAGCGCCGGCTTACATATTGAAACACTGAATACAATTGCAAGTGAAACAAGCCAGGTTCATGCCGCGTCTCTGTGAGACGCGGCTCAAATTCTTAAAAATCGGCCTCAAGTGGGTATTTTAAATCTCCCCGCAACTCAAATATTAAAAACGATAACAATTAATGATAAAGATGTTATAAAAATATTCCTTAAAAAAGTTTGAAATGAATGAGATTAAAATAGCAAATAAAAATTACACAAATTAAGAAAAAGCAAATAAAAATTACACAAATTAAGAAAATTTTTAAGACACTGTAAAAAAAAACCTGGAGCTCAACGTAACATTGCCTATAGGACATGTGATACATTGACTGTAAGTTGAATAATAATAATAATGAATGACCAAAGTCCGTATTTACTTAAATGCATTTATACTTACCAAGTGGGATATTGTCAATGTTTAAGCAGATTATTGTCAACGCCTAAGAAAATCAATTCCATCAATTCCATCCATCAATTCCATCCATCAATTCCATCCATCAATTGTATCCATTCTATCCATCAATTCCATCCATCAATTCCATCAATTCCATCAATTCCATCAATTCCATCAATTCCATCAATTCCATCAATTCCATCCATCAATTCCAGCCATCGATTCCATCCATTCTATCCATAAATTCCATCCATTCTATCCATAAATTCTATCCATCAATTCCATCCATCAATTCCATCCATAAATTCCATCCATCAATTCCATCCATCAATTCCATCAATTCCATCAATTCCATCAATTCCATCAATTCCATCAATTCCATCAATTCCATCCATCAATTTCATCCATCAATTCCATTCATTCCATCAATTCCATCAATTCCATCAATTCCATCAATTCCATCAATTCCATCAATTCCATCAATTCCATCAATTCCATCAATTCCATCAATTCAATAGAAAAGGAAGAAAAGTTTTCTTTGACCCTCACCTTAACAATTCGAGACATTTGATCCAAAATCTCTTTGTTTATGCGTCCTTGCTCAGTTTCATCTTTACCTATTCGATCAAAACTTTGTGTGTATGCTTTGTTTGTTTGTACCCGATAAACGACTTAACGGCTGAACCGATCAGGCCGAAATTTTGTTGCAACTCACATGGCCCTAGGGAAGGTTTATGTCCGGTCGAAAGTGAAAAAAATAGGGGGGGGGGGGAGGGGTGGAATTTAACAATGTAAACAGAAAAATACGCAATAATTTTAGTTTAAAATGTACGAGGATAATGGCGACTATAAAGCAGCATTTAAAATAATTTTACCACAACCGAAATCAAACTAATTCTAACAAGTGATTCCTATGAAAAGATATTTGCTGAGGGCCGGAAGTAGTTCCTCTGGTAGTTTATCTAATTCCGGTCCCAGCTCACGGCCACCGCTTAGCCGGGATCCGACCAGGAGCTCCCAGCTGGGGATTACCTATATATTGATCTAATTTATCCAAGTTCAAGTACTCACCAGACTTGTATCCTTCCATCCACCGTAATTAATGATTGTATCCGACCCAAATTGGCCCTGACCGTGTAATGTGTAGTGTGCTTGAGTCTATAAAATAACCCTGCACGACCACTTAATTTTTTGTTTTTGTTTTTGTTTTTTTTTGCTTGGTGCATCAATCATGAGCAAGAAGGATGTGAAATTCTAAGGTGGGTAGAGTTACGTGAAGTTAGGAAGTTAAAGGAAGAAACAAAACTATTTTCTATATGATATTTTATTTAAGGGATGAGTAAGAATCTGGTAATTTTACACACATTTTCAATCCTTGACCAACTATAGGGGGAGAGGGGATTTTTTAAATTATATGCCTCTCCTGAACAAACAGAATCATATAAATACAATACCTGAGTTTCCCATTTCTCGACGAATTTGTTGAGGAACAACCAGAAGAACTTGTCTTTACTTTCCGATATATAATCCATCCACAACTAGAATAAAGATTCTATTATTCATACATCGGTTCTCTCTAATTACAAGTTGTGGCACGAAGCGCCAAACAATTCAATAATCGATAATTAACCAAGAATAAAAAACTTAAATCCTTGCCGGATGTAAACTCAACTTTTCCTTACTCCNCCACTCAAATCAAATCATAACAACACAACATTAAGCCTACCCAAGTTTACAATTTTAATGCCACAAAGAAGCAATGTCAGATATTATTTAAGTAAAACCTGATTGAGCTTCTCGTCCATATCTAACCCCACCCTATACTGAATAGGAGGCCCATCAGCCCCCTCAAGGGCCTGCAGGCCACCTTCCTCATCCATCTGGAAAATAAAATCCAATAGATCAAATCCAGTTTTTCCCTAGCAAACACTTGATATTAGTATCCGCGCATCTGATCTAGAGGAAACTGACTTCAGTGTTTTCGGATCATAGTTTTTGAAGACCTTAAAATTGTATTAGATCTTATAATTTGTTTTTTAATCTTTGTGACAGAAACAATCTCAAGGATAATGATTCTTAAATCATTTTTTTACAAAGTGAATATTTGCAAATTATCTTTTTTACATCTCATAATCTGAGTTCGTTTCCCAATTAATTATGTCCATGATAGAGGAGGTGGGGGGGGGGGGGCAAAATTATTATACTAGGACGGAACCGTCTAACTAACCTTATGAATATAACCAGACTGGGCTAGATTACATCATTAATTTAAATAGAGACAAAATCTGTTTCTGAAGAAATTTTTCACAATATGTTAACAGATTTTACGATCCAATAAACCTGAACAGAATTCAAGTCAATTGAAAATCGTTTAAATATTGGGGATTGATTGATTGAATGATAATCGTTTATTTCTATATACCTTATTACTGGTATCTTAAATCTTGACATACAATCGCAAATAATGGGGTCATATGTAAAAAAGAATAGCTTTCCATTGATTCTATCCAGAAAATAACTTTTATTAATAAACATAATGATAAAAAGTTGCGGTTTTATCGGATTATTTACACTGGAGGAAATTTATTCCGGAATGCCTCGTACGGTTTTGTTTACGTCATTTATTGACTTTTTGTGGTGCTAAGGAAACCGCCCTACGTAAAACCAGCCTAGCGAGGTTCCAACATCTTTATTGAAGGATTTGATCAAAATACGCCGGTAATCTTATTTTATCCAAAGGTACACAGATTAATTTCTTTATCTTTTAAATTTGAATTAGTGTTGATTGAAAATGTTTAAATTTTTATAGAATACACAAAAAAATTCAAGAGAAACAAAATTTATAACAAAAATTTTAAGATTAAATGATATAAAATAGCTCCAATATGATCAACATTAACTTTTTTGTTATTCATGTTAAACATTAGCCCAAATAATATAGCACTATCGCGCTCGCTGTTGTCGTCTTTGCAAAGTCCCGGTATTTTTATAATTAACCGCGGACTTCTTTACACAGATTGCGCTTTTGCAGTGTGGCCGAAAAACAGAAAAATGCCCTAGATCACCAAGAAAATCCCATCTCGTTAAAGATTTTACGTTAATAAACAATAATGATGTCAAGATCGAAATCAGGTAATGCTGGAGTATATTATGTTTTTCATCTGCGTGTAATCTGATACGTTTGTTTCGCCAAGTCAGAAATATATTGCTTATAAAGCCGTTTTAAACATTAAATAGCGTTCTCTAAAACATAGCCTAAAGTAGTTTGAATATAGCCACTAGGTCAAGCTTTTTCAACACTAGTATTTTATTATAATAGTCACTCAGACTTAGTGACTAGGTTAAAATTGAGATGCAAATATTAAATTGATAGAAGGGGGAGGGAGGGGGTCCAGAAAGGTATTACTGATGTTGCCCGTGTATACCTGCATGTGGAACGTGAATGGTCAGCATCTTAAGATTATCAAATAGTATTTCTTTATCATGATTGGATATAGCTGGTACACTTTTGTTATTGTTCTAGAGAATTGGTTTTGAAACCTAGAAATTTCCATTTAAAATATTTTTGGGTCCTCCCGCCCCACTCCCTTCCCCTTTCTATCAGTTTTGTGCATGCTCTTTATGCAACTCAAAGGCCTAGTTGACACCCCTTAGAAGACAGGGATTAATTGGAACCATTTTTTTCTGACTAATAAATTATAAAGGGTGTAATTTCCAAGAAAACGATTTTTAGACACCCCCCCCCCCCTCCTTTTGTTCATTTTGTATAATTGATCATGTGGCCGCAGCGTCCGGTCCCCTAGCCTGTCCTATTAGCGGCGCCCTGCTCCCTAGCCTGTCCTAGCCACAGCGCTCGGCCTATAAATTGTCTTTACCTAATCCTAAATAATAAAAAAATAAATGTATAACATTGATAGGAGGAGGTCTCTAGGATGGACCTAAACAGGGAGTTATAAATATTTCCTATTTCAATACCACTTCCCGAAATTCTCTTTGTTTATTTACTATGCATACTGGAAGAATATATGGAGTTTTTGTAAATGAATACATTTCAGGAATTTTCTTTTAAGTATTAGTTAAATTATTTAAAATCCACACTTGTGCGACTTTAATTCCTTTTGTATTGTTATAAACATATTTTTAAACGACCTAATTCTGGAGAATTAAGTAATAATGTAGGAAATGTGAATACATTTTTGTAAAATATGAATATCAGTATTTCCACTTTTTGATGATGTTAATATTTTTAGCAAGTAGTTTGGTGAATATGGAGGGGGCGACTGGTTGGGATTGGAGAAGCAACACCCCTCCCGGCGGTAGAGATTGGAGAGCGGCGATTTCTACCCCACTAGCATACAGGTTATTTAAACCAAGTTTTTATAATCTATTTTATTTTGTCCCCAAGAATTTTAATAGAAAAACTGAATTTCTTTCGTAAGAACACATTTTTTTTTTAATTATTGAAATTGGCAAATTTTAGAATAGGGAATTCTACCGTTCATTTTAGACCCCATCTTATATTAGGCAGGAATATTTGATTTAGAAAATAGTTTACATTATTATTTTTCTTAATTTTCTTCACAAAAACATTTGACAATACCTTATTCTATCACGAACACATTTTAAATGTATGCTATTTAAATCACTGACTTCATTTCATTTTAATATGTATCATGAACTTTCATCACAAAATATTTTAAAGTCCAATTCTCTTTTCCAATTAATTTTTTTTTTTGGTGCGTTGCTTTTAAATTTTTAAATGTGTGATATAATCAAAATTACGGTGAAAATTTAGTTTGTGAAAATACAGATGACAAAAATTTAATATTCATTTAGCAAAAAAATCAAATAGAGTTGAATATCAGTGTCAAGTATTATTATTGTTGCAATCATTCTTCTCTTCTATTCTTCATTTGGAGGAAGGAAACGATCCATCCATGTACTCAGAGATAATCTGGTAAGAAAAGAATTCTTCTCATCTATTTTTTAAATAATTTATCATCGTTGGTTAAAATCTCCTACAAGCTGCCCGGCGCTGCCAGTGAGATTAATAAAACTTTACATGTCGGGAAGAAAAATGTAAAAAAATTAATTTTAAAAAAATTGTTTAACCTATATTACTCCCAATGTACCAATTGACTCCCTCCAAATATGTCACCACACATTTTCACCAAATTATCTAAAAACTCTACTGAAGGAGTTTGATATGTCCAAATTTGTATTTTAAATTGTTTTCTGATTTCATTTCATTAATTTCAATTTTAGTTTATGGGACAGATATTAGGTTTTATTCGGAGACAATTCTGATATGATAATTTTTAAAATTGATCAAATAAATGGGGGAGGGGGGGACTTTTTACTAGTTTCGTCTTATGTTGAAATTAATTAGGAACATGATCATCTTCACACTGAGTTAAATACAAGATATCCACTGTCTGATATCCTATACTCCGGGGACACCAAGATATACAAGATCGCAATCATATCCGACCTCGACACAGACTCAGCGGCAGGAGACAACAAGTGGAAGAGCTATCTCAGGTTAAAGCGACTGTTTGCGTAGTTTTTTTTGCAAAGATGACAATATACCCTATTCTAAACAACTCCCTTTAAACCTTCTCTGATTAACAATGTGAACGATATTGTTTTCTAGTGTCAGTTATAATGTGATTCCATGGTTTAGTGTAGTTCAAAATCACAGGTCAGTTGTGTAGAGAAACTACAGCTGAAAAATAACTGTTTAGAATTTTAACATTGATATCTAATTGAAGTTGAGAAGACAAAGCTTTTTAAGGGAACCGTTTTGAAAAGGGTATTGTCATCTTTCCATGGATGGTCACTTGAAATCACGCTTACAGACCTTTTAAACAATATTATTAGGAATATTTCTTACTAATTTTTTTAGAATATTCGTGAAAAAAAGAGAAAGTAAACATTTGTTGTATTTTGAAACGAAAAAACTCATGCATACGCTTTATTAAATGTATGGTTTACATTACAGTATACAGAAACTGAGAATAAAGATGGATTACTCCAGGGTTGAAGTGAATACTAGACTAATATTGTACTCTATGTAGGTACGGAGAACTGAGGATAAAGATGGATTACTCCAGGGTTGAAGTGAATACTAGACTAATATTGTACTCTATGTAGGTACGGAGAACTGAGGATAAAGATGGATAACTCCAGGGTTGGAGTGAATACTAGACTAATATTGTACTCTATGTAGGTACGGAGAACTGAGGATAAAGATGGATTACTCCAGGGTTGAAGTGAATATACCAGAGAAGAGTTTAGAACTGTTCTCCAACCTGGGAGCTGGAGGTAGAGGAATGGAACTATCAGAACTCAGGAATACATCATAATCAGCTCAATATCTGGGCCGGCCGATTGGGTTTTGACTTTTGTCTTTGGGTTTCTAAGTTGGGGGTGATTTTTTATGAAAATAAGAACAACCCTGTTGTATACTGAATGTTAAACGAATTGGTTCCATTAAGAAGTTTCTAGCGCTTGTCTTTATTGAATCATTATTGTATAATTATGTATCAGCTTTCGGATTTTATTTTGAGAGACGAATAGTGACCTTTTTCTATCTGATCATAGAGAAACCTATGTCCTCATGTTTTCATTTAAAGTATATTAATACACATAGTACTGTGTTAAAATAATAGTATATTATGCGTAGTAAGAAAGTGAAATAATAGTATATTATTCGTTGGAAGAAAGTGTAATAATCAAAATTATTGTATACTATTGAAAGAAAATCCGTGAAATAATTTTAATTATTTACCAAAAGGCACGCAATTAGGGGAAAGGAAAAATGCTTAATCCTTTTCCTTTGGCTATGTAGTAATTCCGATAAGAATGTGGTATAATAGGCATAAAGTTATAAAATTATTCCAATGAGACCAAGTATTATAATGTTATGGTACTGCAGTGTGTACAACGGTAAACTGTACAGTCTAGATGACCGTACAGGCGTGGTTTACCAAATCCAAGATGGCGGTGTTATACCCTGGTTAATTCTATCAGACGGTCCAGGGAATCAAACCAAGGAACAAAACACAAAAATGATTAAATAATAATTTTTAAAAATAACTAAATTACAACAGTATAGGTCAGACATTGAATTGAACTAAACAACTTTTATTTATTTTTATTGATTTTTCTTCATAATTTTAATTTGATCATTTATTTTATTATTTCTTAATTTTCAATGATGTTTTCTGATTGCCGGGCTATGTTTGTTTATGAAAAAGAAAAGACAATACAAAGAAAAATAGTTTTTTTTTGAATATTGTGTTGATGTCAGGCGTTTAAATCTGAGTGGAGTACTGTGAAGGGAGATGACCTGTGGGTTGGTGGACTAGGAAAGGAATGGACTACCCAGGACGGGAAGGTTCTTAATACACATCCTATGTTTGTCAAGAAAATAAACAGGTGGGTGTATTCACCTGATGGTATTTTAACTATCCTTAATTTAATTATTTACATCCGTGATTTTCAAGAGTATAATGATAGATTTATCCGTTTTTAATCTTAAAATGGATATTTTTTAGTTATTTAATCTTACAACACAAGTATAAAATGTGGAATTGGTAAAATCGTTCTTATCTTTAAATGGTCCGGCTAAAACATTTGAGGAAAATGAGGACAAAGTGCATAGAAAAAATTACCCTGCTAATAAGCAACAACAGAAAAATTATTAATTAATAAGTTAAATCTGGATCCCCAATAGGATCAAATTTTTTTCTTCACAGAGCGCATCCAGGATCAGGATCAACATTAAAGTCGATTTAATACAGGGGTGTATATTTTTCAGAAATTATATTTGATGAATAAGGGAAAGCCGAAAGGCAATTTTTTTTCATACTTTTTGATACTTTTTCTCCAACATTTCTTCTAAAAATAGTTTATTGAATAAAACATTTAAAAAAGCATACTATAGCTCCTGTGGAGTAAAAATGATTTTCTACAGGGGAGGGGGTTAATGATTTTTAGAGAAAATGTCCACTGTCCACCCCTGATCTGAAACTCGAGAGATAATATCCATATTTATGTCCCTGCCCCAGGGGTTAAAATATTATATTATTGTCTAGGAAAGATAGGATCATATTAATGTCCCTGACCCAGGGGTTATAATTTAATATTATTGTCTAGGAAAGGTTGGAGCATATTTATGTCCCTGACCCAGGGGTTATATTATTATATTATTGTCTAGGAAAGGTGAGGTGGAGCATATAGACTGGACGGACAATTATCTTGCTCTCCGAGAGACCCTTGGTATTTTACCTCCAGGTACAAATAACTCAACCACTTAAAGGCCTCTCCCCCCCCCCTCTGCATACCAGGCCTGAACTAAACATGACCTTGTATCATTCAGCTAGGAAGGGACTGACGGGCGTGATGTCTAATAACTCCATTATGAAACTTTGAAGTTGTCAGTAAATACCTGCTTTTTTTAATTGATTTGTACTACAGTGAGAACTAGAAAACTGTAGAATTGGGAGATAACATTTAAACAAAAAATAAGTGTATTGATGTCGTTTACGAAGTTAATAGGTTTTCTCAAGTGTAGAAAGACGACTTTTTACTTTTAGCAATACTTAATTGTATTTGATGTTGTTACAAAGCAAATTTTTTTACTAGACACTTCTTAAGTCGCTAATTATTTAGGTGAAAGGGGTAACTTGACATTTGCTGTGTCCATGCTCATTGGACTTTTTAAAGTCATAACTTGAGCCTAAAAGTCGTCTTCCTATTTCAAATTTTTTTTGCCGTCACTGTAGTACCTTAGTGAATCATTAAGTGAACTGGGCCTGTTTATACTGTACAACTGTTGTTTCTTATGTTCATCTAGTCTTCACTTATATCTAAGAGCTGTCTTCATATTCTATAGTTCTGACTTTAAATTATTATCCAGGATATATGATCCATGAAGCTGTATCCTGGAGTCCAGCTCTAGAAAGATGGGTTTTCCTGCCGAGACGAGCAAGCAAAGAAAGGTAAGTGTGGACTGTAGCTTCCAATTATTATTATAAAGTCAGTTTTGAAAGCTAATGTTGAAAATTTATAAAATTATTGATGAAATCTTAAATTTAACTCATTTTTAACAATTCCATTTTTAAAATTACTTATTTTTATAAATTTTTCATAAAATACGCAATTTTGTTAAAACTATTTTTTTTCTGCATATTTTGGTCAGAGCTTTTATTTTTGAATTATTGTTAATCTTGAATACCTGGATCTCAATAATTTTTATGATTATAGTATTAAGTTCTCCATACAGAGATAAGCAAAGAGGAATTCAATCATATTAATCCCATTGTGATAAGTCTCCGGTAAACACGAAGAAAAAAGTAACTTAAATAAAATGTTTTTTTTTACATTAAGGTATCTATCACAAAGCTACAAGTCCCTTTCCTGATTTAGGAAATTTATCTTGGACATTGTATGTGGTTAGTTCCATAAACTGATTGATTGATTTTTTCCTATTAAGATATGACGATGTGGAGGACGAACGACGCGGGACGAATCTCATGATTTTAGCGGACGAAAACTTTCAGCACATAGAGTCCAGAACTGTTGGAGAAATTGTTCCAACCCACGGATTCTCTTCCTTTAAATTTCTTCCTGGATCAAATGTAAATATTTTATTTTAAAAATACCTTAACTAAACATATTGTTAAACTTAAAGGGACTGTAAGTGTAATTTGTGTTCAGCTGCAAATTCATGTGTGCGGTGAATTGAGTCACGTACAGTCTGAACTTAACACGGTGGACACTTGAACTTGCAGCTGCAGATTACACACGCTTATATTTCTGTACTAGACGAACACTAACATGTTTTAAGGGTACCGTTGTATATCGGGCATGACCTTCTTTGCATAGATGGTCATTTGAAATTACTCTTACAGTCCCTTTAAGACATGGTTTGTATGTTATTTAATATTCTTGATCAGATAGAATGTTATTAAATATTCTTGATTAGTTAGAATGTTATTAAATATTCTTGATCGGTTAGAATGTTATTAAATATTCTTGATCAGTTAGAATGATATTTGATATTCTTGATCAGAATATAATGGTTAAAGTTTTAATTTTTCCAGATAACAAAGTTTTTTTAAATATAACACAGGAGATAGTTATTAAGGTTGTTTGGACAAAATAAGGGTTTTTTATCATCTATCATAAGATGACATCCCTCAACGCCCAGTTACCCCCCCCCACCCTCATTCACCCGTCCCCTCACTCACCCCTCCCCTCACTAGACTGCCTCCTCCTCACAATTTCCCTAAAATATGGTGTGAAAATAAACGACACTTTTCTAAGCTTGCAACTATCAATCTTATTTCGAATTTTAAACAGAATTTAATTGAAGATTTTTATGAGCAGAGCCAATGTTTTAATTCCAACACATGCTATGTTTGCAAAAGAATCGAAGAAAGCAAAGACGATTTTTCAAAGGAAAGACTAAAAAAAGAGTAAAATATATAATCAAACATAAAGGATGTCAAAAATCGGTGCGAATTAAAAAGATACTGAAAAATGCCAGTTCTATGTAGAACCTATATCTTTTTCACAACCCATTAAGCCTGTTTTATTTTTTCAACATAACAAATAAATCTGTCATTTTTATTTCTGAAAGTTGTTAGTTCATCGTCGAAAAACACTATAATCCACCAATAAATATGTAACTTTTCTATTCCTTTCCTTTTCCTTCTATTTTTTTTTAGAATTAGGAGGTGGAAATATTCCCACAAACTATTTTGAATATTTTCTCCTGAAACATTTAATTTTGTATGTATTTGTTGTATTTCATAAATTAATAATTTCTTGATTATTATTTACTATCATTGAAAACATTTGTTAAGGATGAGATAATTATAGCTTTAAAATCTGAGGAGTTTGAAGGGAAAATATCATCATATGTCATGGTTTTCAATATTCAGGTATTTATTTTTTAATTTTAATATTGAAATTCAGTTAAAAAGATATGAAGAATGTACGGACAATTTCTAATACCAATTATTTTGAAAATATCAAATATAAATGTTAGGGTGTTGTTTAAAAATAATATTGTACATGTTCGAAATTATTTGTCATAGAAACCTTTTTAAAATAGAAAACAAATTGTTAAAAAAAATATTGAAATTCAGTAGTCGTCGTCCTGTTCAATCCTCCTACCCCTAATTCCCCTTCACTGCTAATTTTGTCTTTCTTGTTTATAGAACAATTCTTTTATTTTACACTTTATTTGCAGCAGTATTTGTGAAAATATAATTATGTTCCAGATTTTTTTTTTGATTTAAAGTCCCCGCCATTTTGTCAATTAAAATTGAAATTAGCAATTTCAGTTAAATGGGACTATTTTGAAAGTTGCAAGTTTTAAATCAAAATCTTAATTTGTTTAGAATTCTGGACACATTTCTGCTTTTAGGGGTTAAATATTTTCCTATAAATCCTCCCCTGTTAACACGCCACCAGGAATATGTGCGGGGGTTTTTAGGATTTTGTTCACAGATGTTATGAATACCTTTTTAAAGTTTGAAAAAAAATTGTTGAAAAAAATATTGAAATTCAGTTATCGTCCTATTCAATTCTCCTACTTTCCCTTCACGGCTATTTTAGTCTTGCTTGTTTATTGAACAATTCTTTTATTTTACACCTTTTTTTGCATCAGTATTTGTGAAAAATATCATTATTTTCCAGATTTTGTCAAGTATTTTGATTTAAAGTCCCCGCCATTTTGACGATTAAAATTAAAATTAGCAATTTCAGTTAAATACGACTATTTTGAAAGTTGCCTTAATTTTTTTAGAATTCTGGGCACATTTCTTCTATTAGGGTTAAATATTTTCCTATAGATCCTCCCCTGTTAACACGCCACCAGGAATATGTGCGGGGGTTTTTAGGATTTTGTTCGCAGATGGGAAAACAAATTTTAAGTAAAAAGTATTGAAGTGGAGAAAAGTTCGAGAGCTGATGTAAGATTTTTGGCCCACCGNATCTTTCCAAATTTATTAAAAAAAAAAATAAAGCTGTTAAATCTTCAGGGTAAAATTTTGCTCCCAGAACAGAAGATTGCAGATAAGAAGTTCGAAGGGATTGAGTTTGTCTGAGAGAGAAGATTTATGGAAGCTCTACTTAGGATTTATTGTTTTTAAAGGACCGGTTAATGTCATTTCAAATAACTCGACATTTCTTGTGTGAAATGTCCAATTCACAATGGTACCCTTAACACCTTAGACTTATCAAAAATGAATGAAATAATGGGAAAAACTCTTAGAGTTAAACACATTTTCAAACCAGAAAACGACGATATCTTTCTCATTGTTGATCAGAAACAGGTTTAAAAGGGTACCGCTTGTTAATCGGGCATGCCTTCTTAAAATTAAAACAGTCACTTTACAAAACACCCCTTAAAAGATCAGGGTTAAAGTACATGTACTACTACTAGTAATGTGATATTGAAAAATCTAGATTTTTTGTTATTTTTTAAATTCTAATCCATATTGGATAATGTACTAAACACATAAAAATTTATTTTTATCATACCTAGGAATTTATTTATTTTATTTTTATTAATTTATATATTTAAATAGGGCTTGTTAATTTTTTTAATTAGAGCATTTAATTTATTTAGTTGACTAGAAGTGATAACTTTTAAATGTGCAGAAAGAGTTTATCTAATTTACTCCTCGCGTGAAGTTTAAGTTTCAATTTTTTTAAATTTGATATTTTGCCTAAGCAATTTTTTTCTGCGGCACGTTGCATTCTTTTTTTTTAATTCCTCCGTTGTGTGAAAATTGTTGTGTTTGGTTTATGGATTATTTTATTGTTTTATTTTTACTATGCCTTGGATCTAATTTTATTTGATGATTCGAATTCAGCTCCTAAATACTTAATGCGTCAAAATTCTTCAAATATTTATTCTGAACCAAAGCACTAGTTTTGAATTGTCTGATAGTGTTTGATCAACCTTTGAGACTATTTTGTGATATATCCAGATCACTGTAATCCTACTTAATGAAGACTTTCATACTGATTTTATCTCTCAAAAAGTCAGTAAGAGTAGTTTTAAATGACCCTCCTGGAAAATACGGTAATGTCCGATTCACAACGGTACTTTTAAAATCTGTGTCTGATTAAGTATGAATTATCAATGTTTATAATTCTAAAAACTGATAAATTTTAATTGTGGTTTCTTGACAAACTTGCGCATTTCTATTGCAGGAAAACGAAAAGAAATGATCAGAATTAAACACCCAGTAAAACGACCCTCCAAATTATTGATCAGATAAAGGTTTCAAAGGTACTGTTGTGAATCGGGCATCGCCATCTTTGCAAAGAGGGTCGTTTGATATTATGCTTACAGTCCCTTTAACGAGAACTTTTTTCAACTAATTTTCATCTCTTAATGGCGGTACTGAAGGAAACAAGGGCTGTGATCAGTTATTATCAATTTTTTAGAAAACAAATTATGTGCTCTCCATCCAAATAGGTTTTTTTTTTTTTTTAATTTACTAAAACCTTCTATTGGCACATTTAATCCGAACTGAAGCAATATTAAACATTTATGTAAATTAACATTCCTTTGCAAAAATAAATTATGTAAAAATGTAAAAAGTACTAGTAATTCACAGACCAAGGACCATTCAAAGAAAGATCGTAAAAAATAATTTGAACCAATAATGAAGTGATTCCTTTAATATATAAAAACAGATAAATGAGAAAGTCATTTTGTTTCATAAGTTTTCTATTAAAAAAGGGTCCTTGGTGATACTTGCAAATTAACCTTCCTTTATTGTATCTCTGTATACTTGTATCATACTTGTATCCCTTTATCCTCATGCATCCCTGTATCCTTGTATATTCTTTGTTGCAATGTGTGAGCACTGTTTCAGATAGTATGGATATACCCCTGCCAGGGGAAATCCCACTCCCGGGATTATCTAATCCCGCTGAGATTCCCATTCCGGGATTTTTTGATCGGCTACCGCCCCCGCCTCCTCACCAGCCTCCTGCTCCGCCCGGCCCGCCTCCAATTTTAAACAATTCTGCCAATTTTTCTAATTCGATAAACCGCGCATTTAATCCATCAGGACCTCCAGCTAGTTTTTCTAGCCCCGGATTGAAGCCTTCAGCGCCTCCAATGATGGCCTCCAAAGCTTCCTTCCCTCCACCCTCCGATGATGTAGACGTATTGTTCCAGCCTCCAACTCACAAAGAGGCTGGAGATGATCCTGATTTCTATTCTCCTTTTTCTCCCTCCAGGGTAAGTGATTTATTCTAATTCATATTAATATGAAAACAGATTTATTTCTCATTCACACAGTGGTTAGTGTTTGTCAAGTATATTCGAATTAAAGCTCAAATCTTTCACATGGTCAATATAACTCACAATGAATGACATTTTTCTTGTTATTAACAATATCAAACCAGAATGTTAAATAATGTTGTTCACGGGTTCTCTTCCAGGCTAGTCCAGAGTCGTCTCCTTTAAAGCGCTCTGACGGTAGTGACGGAGACGGCGTGGAGACGATTAAACCCTGGGGCCGCCGCTCCGGTGGGGCTCAGCTTCCTGTCTACGGCCCTCCAGCCCCTCCACCGAGTACACAACCTCCCGAAGACCCGACTCCGCCACCCAAAATCGCGCAGTTTATCGGTCCAGACGAGGCAGAGCTTGCGGCGGAGCGAGGCGGGTAAGACGATTATTTAGTCATCTCTATTTTGTATTAAGCGCGACGTAATGGAGCCTAAAGCTTTCACTGAAATTCGTGATTTGATTTGATTTGATTTGATTTGATTTGATTTGATTTGATTTGATTTGATTTGATTTGATTTGATTTGATTTGATTTGATTTGATTTGAGATTTGATTTGATTTGATTTGATTTGATTTGATTTGATTTGATTTGATTTGATTTGATTTGATTTGATTTGATTTGATTTGATTTGATTTGATTTGATTTTATGGAACAGTTCGTTTTAAAATAGTGACTTCACCAAAAATGCATTCTCGTAAGTTAGTTATCAATTTTACTCTATAGAGAAAAATATTGCTAACTAAGAGTGCTTTCTACTAAATGAGAAACGTTAATTCCTTTAATTTGCTGTTAAACAGTTGCTTCTTTTGCTATTTTATTTTCAGTAGATTAATTCTTTAACGACCCAACAATCATGAATTTTATAATTTTTCAGTCCGGTAAAAGGGTTTGTGATGGGCGCGGATGAAGCAAAGCAAAGACTGAAAGCTTACGCTGCTTGGAAAACTGGCAATATGGGCCTCATGCTTCCAAACAAGAAAAAGGTATTTGAAACTAATGTTCATCAGGGGGGGGGGAGTAATCACTAGTTCATGAAAACTATTACAATGTGATTGGTTTACCTTTTGATTCTTTGAAAAATTGCGTAATGATCCACTCGGGTATAACAGATAAGGTAGATAAGGTAGATAAGGTAGATAAGGTAGATAAGGTAGATAAGGTAGATAAGGTAGATAAGATAGATAATGTAGATAATGTAGCTGCTACACTCAAGCAAGTTTTGGAGTCCTGGTTCCAGCAGGTGTCTTCTCTCTAATGCACAGGTAGACTGGCTGGCCTCATCCCAGGGGCCTGCACTGGGTTTACCGTTATGGGGGGTTGCTTGATACGCAACTGGCTCTCGGGCTGCCAGCCACTAGGAATGTATCACTATCACATGGACGTTAAACATTGTGTGATAGCCTGGATGGATTTCAGGCCGCCGCGCAGACTGCATGTTGATGCTCTGCACCCTGAGGGCGGTCTGGGGGTTCCATGCCGGGTTCCTTTTCAGATCTTATAATTATTATTAGATAATGTAGATAATGTAAATAAGGTAGATAAGGTAGATAGATGTAAAGTACTAAAGATGCCAGATCTTGTTATTTTCTATGTTTACCTGTATTTGACTCAATGTTGATTTATTTAATTGAGAATATTCTTGACTAAATGTTTGAATGCTTGACTGTAGACTTAATCTCAATTGACAAAGATGTCATCAAGTTTCAATTTTTGACTATTTCTTTAATTGTTTCTGCATCAAAAACCCGCAAAATACGTTTAAGGTTTAAATTATATCGTTTTGAATTGAACATGTCTGTTTATTTTTGATTGTACTGCTTGTTTAATTGACTGTCTGTTTGTTTAGCAGGAAGTGAAGAAGAAAGATGATGAGACAACAGAGAAAAAGAAACCAGGGAACTAGAAAGAAATCAGACTAATCAATTTGTAACGTATATTTATATATTGAACATATCTCATCAGAGCTGAAAACTTTAGAATTGTGTATACCGAGATTAATGCTTGATCTCCTCTGTTTATTAATCTCAAGATTAGTTTGTTAAATCTTGGTAAGTGTATTCAATATCGAACTCAGAGTTCGATTTTGCGGAATTCGGACAGCCAATCAGAAGTGGAGAAATATTTAATTTTGCAATGTTTAATTCTCATTGGTTGCAATCCAGCAGGGAAATCAAAAAGAGTGGATTAAACATAAAATCAAAAGTGTCCACAGTGAATACAGAGATTTAGATATCAGGATTAAGGTTATCCAATACACGATTTAGATATCAGGATTAAGGGTATCCAATACAGGATTTTTCAGCGGCCTTTTATCTATTTATATCATATGAACATATCTTATCTTCTATCTATCTATATCATATGAACATATCTTATCTTTTATCTATCTATATCATATGAACATATCTTTTCTTTTATCTATCTATATCATATGAACATATCTTTTCTTTTATCTATCTATATCATATGAACATATCTTTTCTTTTATCTATCTATATCATATGAACATATCTTTTCTTTTATCTATCTATATCATATGAACATATCTTTTCTTTTATCTATCTATATCATATGAACATATCTTTTCTTTTATCTATCTATATCATATGAACATATCTTTTCTTTTATCTATCTATATCATATGAACATATCTTTTCTTTTATCTATCTATATCATATGAACATATCTTTTCTTTTATCTATCTATATCATATGAACATATCTTTTCTTTTATCTATCTATATCATATGAACATATCTTTTCTTTTATCTATCTATATCATATGAACATATCTTTTCTTTTATCTATCTATATCATATGAACATATCTTTTCTTTTATCTATCTATATCATATGAACATATCTTTTCTTTTATCTATCTATATCATATGAACATATCTTTTCTTTTATCTATCTATATCATATGAACATATCTTTTCTTTTATCTATCTATATCATATGAACATATCTTTTCTTTTATCTATCTATATCATATGAACATATCTTTTCTTTTATCTATCTATATCATATGAACATATCTTTTCTTTTATCTATCTATATCATATGAACATATCTTTTCTTTTATCTATCTATATCATATGAACATATCTTTTCTTTTATCTATCTATATCATATGAACATATCTTTTCTTTTATCTATCTATATCNAGAGATAAATAGATATTTTCCCCCTAAAGTGTAAACAAAAAAATAGAAAGTAAACAAAGGAAACACTGGAAGTATATACCTTGTTTTTAAGAGAATGTACACAAACAACCTCAATTTTTTAAAATGTCATGCTCAATCCTCAACGTGTCCCTTTAAACCCAGTTCTTGAAGAAATATGGAAGATATCGTCTGTCTTCCATCTGTAAATTATATCCTTTATCTCAGTTGCATAAAATCCGCAAGGAACTTTTAAAATTAGCATTAGAAAGTTTTTATCTAGTAAAACGAGGGTACATTCATTATACTCAGACACGTGTCATTTTTGTGAAAATGGTATGATGGTTTTTAAATGCAATGTTACTTGAAACAAAGCCTACACTCCCTTTAAGTAAATTTTAATTTCTTATAATGTTAAGGTCAAGGTCAAGAAGTCCCGCCCGCCGTTCCCGTCACGATTCAGGCGATCTTATTCACACTGTGAGAGAGGAGCGGCGAAAACGAGAACGCCGAAGTCGTCGATCCAGATCCAGATCTCGTTCTCGTTCTCCTCGATCTAGGCGTGGACGCTCCAGGTCTAAGAAGAGGCACAGTAACTCTAAAAGCTCGAGCAGAAGTAGGAGTAACAGTAGAGCCAGTGGAGATGACAAGGAGAAGAATAAGAAGGAGAAGAGTAAAGATACAAGTGAGAAGAAGGAGAACGGAGGAAACGAAGAGGGCAAGGTGAGCACCGAAAATTCGTTTATCTTTACAAGTGCAAACGTATTGGTTGGTTCTCATAGCTTTGCGGGGGGGAAGAGAAGTGTAAATAGTTGATATTGTGGGGAATCAATTAAATGTAAATTAAAGATTTTATGGGGATAATTAAATGTAAATTAATGATTTTGTGGGCTTAATTCAGAGTATAATATTGATTTTATGAGGGGGGAAAATGTAAATTGATAAATTTACTGGGAAAATGAAGTGTAAATTATGCTTTTATGGGAGAATTTTGTTAATATTAATTATTTAATGAGGGGAGGAAAGTGTATAATGTTTATCATTATTAATGACTTCATAGACTAAAATCTCAATGAAATTATAAGATAAACATATGCAGCTTTATGAATAGGATGCAAGTCGTAATTAAATGATCCTAAAAAATTATACATCAAAGAAGTAAAATTTATGAATAACGTAATAGAACTAGCAATTATTATCTTGTGGCGCTAATATTACTGAACGTTACCTCACATAACGTTTCCCCTCACAAAACGTTTCCTGTCACAAAACGCTTCTTTACAACCGTTTACTTATTGAATGTTTCCTTACTGAATGTTTCCTCAAAAAACGTTTCCTACACAAAACGTTTCATACACAAAAGTTTCCTGCCACAAAACAGTTCCTTACAAAGCGTTTCCTCACAAAGCGCTTTGTAGCAGGAAACGTTTGGTGGCAGGAAACATTTTCTTAGAAAAATTTCAGTAAGGAAACGTTATGTAGATGCTCCTTTTTCAGGCGAATGGGGAAGGTGAGGATGGGGAGAAGGGAGAGAAGAAGAAGGAGGAGAAGGAAGAGGATTGGTCCGAGATAGATAGACAGATAGAGGAGGAGGATAAGGCAAAAACCAAGTAAGTAGCAAACAGAATTTCCGGCATTTTTCCATTTTCATTATCCCAAAAAGACCAAGTTGGGATATTTGTATGATGCAGACCGTTATGAAGTAAAATTTAGTCAAACAAATTTAGGATAAAAAAAATTTGAGATCGGACCACTTTCACCGTCTGATGTAAATTTTCAGAAATATGCACATAGTCTTCACTCTTCAGTCTTCATAGCTCAAAAAAATATTCCTTGAATATCATGGCATATATCATTTTCTTCGTAATTGTCTAAAAAGATGAAATCCATTGAAATTTTTGAAAAATTTTAAAAATTGACTGAGTTAGGCCAAAAAAACTTTTCCTAAAAACAAGCATTTTTGACGATTTTTTTTTTTTACTGATGCAGTTAATTTTTGAAATTTTTAAAAATTAGTTGCGCCTCTGGAGTCATTTGATAGGTTGGGTATTGGAAAGGTTCGGGTCGCAGATTATTGTATTGTTGAATGAATAATTTTTAGAATGGATCAAAAATATTCTTTTGTAGTTAATTGAAGCGTCGCAACTATTTTGTTTCTGTTGACTAAAACATTTCTCGCTATATTTGGATTGAAACCGAGTTCTTATTAATATTCGTTAATGTTTATTAATCATGATAAAAATAAATCGCAAAGTTTATTTCATATATTTCAGTTCATGGCGAAGATATCCAACCTGATTCCTGCTGCTTCGGAGAAACCCGAAGATCAGGAGGAGGAGAAGGAGAAACCTATTGTTGTTGGAGGGTACTTTGCTAGGTTAGATATTCTGTCTTTTATCTAGCAATTAATTCATCCTGACAATTTATATTCTTTACTAAACGACTTTCTACGTTTATTTTTTGATTTATTAATTCATTTCATCTCTTAATTCTCAATTTCATTTATGAATTTTTTTATTAGTTTGTTAATGGATTGGTTCGTCAGTTAAATCGGTTATTCGCTTCATAATTAATTCACTTTTTTATAGTTTATGTCTTATCTTATACTCTATATTATTTATTTATTTAAACTTTATCATTGTTCAATAATATATTTACTTTTACTTAATTCATTAATTCATTTACTTATTTTCTATTTTCTTTAATTTTCGCTTGTTTTTTGTACCAAGATATAGCCTTCACCTTTTAACCAACATTGTAGTCTTCAACTCGTCGTTATCGATTTGATTTATTTTAGAGTTATCCCTGAAGAAGAACTAGAGAAGTATAGATCCAAGTCCAGGTCCAAATCCAGAAAACGATCAAGATCAAGGAAACGGTCACGCTCCCGACGCCGTTCCCGATCTCGTCGTCGATCACGACGATCTTTGTCCAGGAAAAGATCACGGCGATCAAGATCCCGCAAACGATCAACTTCTAGAAGACGACGATCAAAGGATCGCAAAAAGTCTAGATCAAAGGAGCGGAGGAGATCTCGTTCTCGCAAGAGATCACGTTCAAAGGTTCGTAAAGATCGATCTCGCTCAAGATCAAAAGATCGCAAGCGTTCAAAGTCAGTGCAGAAGAAAGCAGACGGAGAAGTTAGCAAAGATGGAGAAGTAAGCAAAGGCGGAGAAGTAGGCAAAGACAAGGAAGGAAGCAAAGACAGGGATGGAAGCAAAGACAGGGATGGAAGCAAAGACAGGGAAGGAAGCAAAGACAAGGAAGGAAGCAAAGACGAAGAAGGAATCAAGAATGGAGATGAAAAAGAGAATGCAAATGTTGTTAAGGAAAAAGAAAATGAGGAAAACACAGACAAGAAGGATAAAAAGAGGGATCATTCTACATCTAAATCAAAGTCGAGATCTAAGTCGAGATCAAGGTCTAGGAAAAGATCTAAGTCAAGGAAGAGGTCGAAGTCAAGGAGGAAATCTAGGTCCAGGTCTCGTTCTCGAAAAAGATCTCGGTCTCGGAAACGATCAAGATCCCGTCGAAAAAGCAGATCCAGGTCTAGGCGTAGGTCGGTATCAAGGCACAGGAGAAGGAGAAGCAGAAGTAGATCTAGACGAAGGCCTGTTCGAAAGTTCAACGTTTCACCTATTCGAGGCCCCATTCGTCGCCGATCTAGGTCGAAAGATCGTCGACGATCCCCATCAAGGCAACGGTCTGTCTCTGGACGACGAAAGAAGATTTCTAGATCAAGATCAAGGCCTGTTAAAAAACGTCGCGGTAAATCTAGCTCTGATTCAGATTCGTCAGTTGAACGTCGGAAAGCAAAATCAGAAAAAAAAACGAAGAAAGAAGAGAGAAAGAAGAAGAGGAAGGATTCTGACAGCGAACCTGATAAAAAGAAAGACGACAGCAGTTCCAGTTCAGAGGAAGATGAAAGGAAAGTTGTGAAAGGCAGGAAAGCGGCCCGAAATAGCAGCTCTGAGAAAGAAAGTAAGAAATCTAAGAAGAGTGACAGCAGCAAAGATAAAAAGAAAGCTCGTGATAGCTCCGAAGAAAAAGAAGTCAAGAAAGAACGGAAAACTGATAAGAAAAAACGAGAAAGTAGCGAATCACAGGAGAGGAGTGCTAGAAAGAAGAAGGATGAGAAGAGAAAGAGGGATGTAAGTGTAGAAGATAAAAAAGATTTGAAAAGTGAATCTAGGAAAGCTGGTGCAGGTAAATGGAAGCATGATAAATTCAAAGATGAAAGCAGCGATGATGAGGCGGATAAAATAAAACTTGAAAAACTAGAGAAACTTCGCAAACTTCGTAGAAAAGAGGAAGAGTTGAAGGAAGAAGAGCGAAAGATCAAAGAAGAAGAAAAAAAATTGAAGGAAATGAAACAGAAAACCGTTAAAGAATCCGCAAAAAAGAAAGGAGATTCCTCTGACTCGAGCAGTGATGAGAATTCGTCTGATGAATCGTCAAGCGACGATGAGAAGAAGAGCGGGAAGAAAACCCGAACTAAATCGGGTTCTTCTATGAGTGAGACAGAAGAAGAGAAACTTCGTCTAAAGGCACTCCGTAGTCTAGTAAACAAAACCTTGAAGGAAAGTGACTCTCCGAAGAAAAAAATGAAAATGGACCTGAACGACATTCTGGAAACTGTAAAAGAAGCAACAAGGAAGGAACAGAAGAAGGTTAAGAAACCTGATGAGAAGAAGAAGAAACCAGAATCTTTGAGTGAAAAGAAGAAAAAGAAGAAGGAAACCAGTTCTTCTGATTCTTCTTCCGAATCTGATTCTGAAGCAGCTCTCAAGAAGGAATGGAAGACTGTTAAAGCCAAGTGGGAAAAGAAAATAAAGCCGAAACGTGAAGATTCTTCTGATTAATCTAAATGTAGAATATCAACTTTGATTTGCAATTTTAAAATATGTTTTTTTTTCTTAATTCTTTTTTATTTCGTAATATTTCAGTGATTTCAGAATTTGTAGTTGATAAACGGTTAAAATTCAGTGTTCCGTACTTGATACAGATATTTTCCGCGGAAGTTAAAGAAGTCAAGTATGATCAACATAAAGACTGGCCTCCAATATCATTTGTGAGATTAAAATTTCGTGTTAATTCAACCCATTTGTACTCGCTAATAAAATGATGTAAATCTAAGTTATCCAAGTTTTAACTTCAACTATTTTTTCATTGTTAGTTGTGTTGTAAATGTATACTAGAGCGGGGGGGGGGGAGGAGGGTTAGCATAATATTTTGTAAAAATGCTCGATTCATGTAACATGTTTATTTCCAGTGCTTAGGATCCATTCAATTTTGATGCGAATCCGCACTGAAAAAAATGGATCTGTATCCAAATCCGGATCCGCATCCAGGTTATTTGTTTTAAGTTTACAGGATTTTTTTAACAAAGCAGAATTTTCAAATTTTTTGTCCTATTTTTTCGCTTTTTTATGCTAAAACTTGATCCATTCAGAAATCAGAAAATTTTTCTATTCTCTCTTTTTCAATAGTTCAGATTCAGGTTTTGAGAGAAACGTTTTTTTTGCAGTTTGTTTGATATTTTGCCCCTTTTATCCGGATCCGTGGATCCGCACATTTTTGTGGATCCTGATTTGGGTCCAAGTAGCCAAAATCTTGCGGATCCAACGGATCTGGATACGGATCTTTAGCACTGTTAATTTAAATAGATTTGTGACCTATTTCTTAATTAAACATGTCTGTATACGATTTTGGTTGTATTCTTCATTTTCACGTATGCTTTTTGATATGGGGGGATGGGAGAGGGCGGGGCTGCTTCTAACTACAGTAGGTTAATCCATTTTCACAGAAATTTAACAGTCGAGTTCCTAGATATTTTTCCCGTTCATACAGAAAAATAAAAATTAATGTAAAAAGTGTTTCATAACATTTTTTATTTAACTGCCGATTTTCAAGAATTTAATTTTTTTTACAAAATTAAAACCTTAAAACACATTTTTTAAATTTTTATCATTCATAAACCTTCTCTGTGGTCACGTGAAGTCCCACAAAAAATTTGGGCCCGATCGGTTCAGCCGTTTTGACGTTTATTGGATACAAACAAACAGACAAACAAACAGACAGACAGGCAAAATTTATATATAGATTGTCACGGATTGACGGCTTCTAGGTGAGAGCTCTCAAGGCGTTTTCAGATCGTATGTTGGCGGATATGGGGAGAGCAAATTAATGGTTAACATGGACAGAGGACGTAGGATTCGCTCTTAATTTGGTAGACCACATTTGGTTCATATCAATCGATAGCATTTTATTCAATAAAATAGATTTGGGAATAAATCCGTTAGTCTCCTTCCGTTAATGTTACTTCTGTTCTACGAGTTATACGGCATTTCCGTCCTACGATACTTCGGACCTACGACAGCTGGTAGGATGCACAATGCACATTCTGTTAATCCGACCTACGCAGGAACTGCTGATATAGTCGGTATGTATTTGACAGCGCTACCATCAGGAGCGAATTTTACGGTTGCACACGTAAGTCTGACAACTTTTGTATGTAGGATGAATAGTTATGTAGATTGTATGCAACGATTTTGTAGGTCGGATACACAACTTTTGTATGTCGAATGCACAAGGTTAGGTTAAGAAATTTCTGGGGCTATGGGGCCGAGCGCTGCGGCCACATTTATCAAAATGACTAAGTATAATAGACAAACTTTGAAATCCACGGAAATTTTACCAAGAAATCTGCGAACTTTTTTGTTTTGTTATACAATGTTCACAAAGAGAACATGTTCACAATTGATATAGAAGATGGTCGCGAAGCACCCTAAATTAAGCCTAGTAATATTAATATTAGAATTTTCCAATGTTTAAAGTCGTTACATTTTAAAATATCAAACAGAATTCATCATTTAAATTCTACTATAGAAAAACTTGTGTAAATGCTTGAAAATATTATACTGATTCAATTATCTGTTAAATATTTCAAAATCGCGCCATGTTCCAAAACGTGTTTAGCGCCCAAACTTTGCATTTGCTACAAAAATGTGACATGTAAAATTACTAATTGAGGGCTTCTGCACTCACCCCCTCCCCCTCCTTGCGTTATAGGTTTGTGATGAACGTATCAAGTTGTTCAACGTACTTACTAATTAAATACAATATAACGTATTCATACATTTATCTAAAATCCAATGAAAAGAAATATATTTTAAGCATGCTTTACTAGGGTAGTGGCCAAACATGCCTGCATTAAACATGTGTTGTACATTTAAGATTAAAATTTTAGTATTAGTCTAAAGTCTATTTATTGCCACCACCTCAAGAATTTAAATTTTAGAATATTGATCAAAACTAGATTTTTTTAAATCAGAAAAAAACTTTTTCTAAATTTTTATTAAAAATATGTTATTGCCCTGTCCACGACTAATGTTTTTTCAAATGTAAATCCAAATCAGAGATATGGTGATTTCCTGAAGGCTGCAAAATTTTTTATAATTATAATATTTCTTTAAACTCTCCCTATTCCCCCCGTCAATATTTTTCTGACGAAATTTTCCGGGCCTGGCCTGATTTTGGACTGGTCCGTCAGGCCATCTCTTCACTGCCTTGTTTTCTTGCCTATTACTTAGTCATGTTTGTGACGTCAAGCGCTTTACACCTCTCACAGTCTCTACCTTTATATTCTACATACACCACAGTATAAACGGTAGATAATTTCAAGAGCTCCATTCGATACCATCAATATTGTTACTTGGATTATCATACGAGGCAAATAATTGGTTTTTTGAGTTACAAATTAATATCATAACATGTTAACATATTATACTCTGTATCTATTATCATTTTCTTTAACTAATCCGATAGTAATATTATAAAGCTCATAAAGATTAAACATAATTTTACAAAAGTTTGTTGATTTAACGTTTCTTGATATTACATTTGTTTTATATATAAGTTATAAGTTTTCATTTTCTTTATTATGATAATTTCATTATTCTTTTTTATGTGACTTCATGGAATTACAAAATCCAAACTGTTGAAAATTTACAGAATACTATTGTGAATCAAGTATATACACTATACAGAAAACACATATAATGACAGTCAAATTAATGTTCATTTAAGGGAGTGAGGTATATTCCTAGAGAACGATTTTTGGACCCTGTAATTTGTATGGTGGTTGAACTGAATATGTAGTATTGTGGACAAATGTTTTAGGATTCATTTGAGACGTGTATAAATCTATTCTTCGACGTATATTTCCTCTTTTCAAGTTTTCTTTTCGGGGGAGGGGGGATGGGAAATGGGAATAATCATTTATACTTTATCTCAACAAAAGTTTCAGGTTTGTGGGATGAGATGAGGCATACCTGTAAAGTGCATATATATTATAAAGAGAATGATAATAAAGTTACCGGTTTTACCCATTTTTAAGAACTTAACAGTAGAGCAGGTTTAAAGTCTTAATTACAAAACTTATCAAATCTATAACAAATAACTGATGAATGTAGTTTTTTCAGATAAAATGGTTGAACCAAGTGCTCCTCCACCCAATCCTTACGCCGAGCTCTCTAAGAGTGTAACCAATGCCATGGATGAACTCAGTGCAGACACTTCCCTGTATATCCCTGACCAGCGCGCTACTGAACTATTCAGGATGGATGACAGCGTGCAAATATTCTTTGTCACAGCTGACGGACATGTCAGCACGTTTTCTGCCCCAGAATCCTTGCGGATTTTCCAGTTCCAGGAATCCAAGGATGAGAGTTCCCGCGTTTTTCTCCAGGTTGGAGGTTGGACCCATCCTCTGGTTCCAGGAGCCTCTCCTTGTCTCCAGGCTGAGAATGGAGCCATTATGTTCCCGGATATTTACTCTGACCTACCTAACAGTGCTGTCGGGTTGGTTCTTATTGATGATGTAGCTCCAGAGATAAGAACAGAGCTCATAGCAATGCTTCAGCAGCATACAGCATTCAAAGGGGAACCACAGGTTCAAGATTATCAGTTGGGGGTTTTAGGAAGCTCAATCGTGAAGGGAGCAGAGGTGCTTACAAAAGGCATTGGCTACGGGACGTCTAAGGCTGGCCAGTTGATTGAATATGTTTCTGAGAAGAGCCAAGAACGCCTGGCTAAAGGAGATGATGAGGCCAAGGTTGGTAGTATGACCAAACTGACCGTGAACGCTGCAAAACACACGACCAACGCCACTGTCCAAGTTAGTGGATTTGTTTCCAACCGAGTGGGAAAACTAACTAAATCTCTGGCAGACTATTTGGCGAGCAAGGTAGAGAAGCCCCTGGCTGGATCAGCTGCACCCAGGCAGGGGACAATGAGCTACCTGGTGGACGCCGCCAGAGGCGGGTTGATCGCCTATGGGACCGTGTACATCAATCTGGAGTCTAATGCCAAGGTTCTCGGTACCCAGCTGAAGAACAACACCGTCAAGGTGATGCAGCACAAGTACGGGTCTGAAACCGGTGAGGTGTTTGGGGAGGCGATGACGGCGGCGGGTAATGGTGCTCTTACATACATGAACCTTCAGAGCCTAGGGGCTAAGGGGTTATTGAAGAGTACAGCTAAAGAGACAGGAAAGAGCGTTGTCAAAAATGTGCTAAATGTACCTAAGCAAGAATCTAAATAGCTACATATCTAAAAATTTACACTATACAGCATAACACATATATTTTTCTTATCTTTTCTTAACATTTAAGTGATAATGAATACTCATTACTCAGTCTCCACGAAACAGCTAAACTATAAAGTAAATGAACAAGTTATTTATCCCCCCCCCCTCCCCTACGGCCTTTTGTGGTTGTTCTTGCTGCTATATTGTACCCCAGTAACAAATGTATTTTGTAATCAAACACTTGTCTGAAACTGTAACTTTCGAATCCCGACATCTTTGCTACCTAAAACTTTTGATATTTCTAACCTCCAATTTATCTTGGAGAATTCATGGTTTGAAATATTTAAGGTCTACGAGATCTGGCTGCAAAGATATTACAATTAGACAATTTAGAGTTGGATGCAAGTGTTCAATGTCCTTATATGTACCCTAATGTTTTGCTTGCCAGCTTTAAAATTAATTAAAATTAATCTATATTTATATATAAATATATTTCAGATACTGTTAAGCCTAGAGAAAGGATTTCAAAATGATGGTTTCGACTGCATCAAATGTTTCGCCGAATATTGAAATAATATTGGAGACCAATAATCAGGTAAATTTATCTTAACTTTTATATTCGTTTGTAACACAACACAGTTATAGTTTATTGCAGAATGATTGTTGAGATAGTCCGAAATAGAAACTTTACCAAGATTTTGCCTCAAACTAGAATTTTATAATCCCTTTATCTTAACAACCTGATGGTGCTGATCATTTGATCTAACAGAATTTATAGTTTGAAACGTCGGAGGTCTACGACATTGGGTTGCAAAGATATAGGAATTAGAAAATCGGAGTTTTAGGCAGAGACTCGATTCCTTTGCAACTGTGTTAATAAAAACAAAATGTCGAGTAATCCTCCATTAAAAAATGGTGAATATATTGTCGTTTTCTTATCATATCTAAAAGAAATTAAAATCTTACACTTTCCTTTATTGTCTCTGTTGTATAGTTTCGCAAGTCAGAAATCTATGAATTAATATTGAAAAATATTTGAAATATTATATTTAGCGGGGAAACCTTTTTAAGGTTATGTTTAAGAAAGATATCTAAAATATCCTATTATTGAGATCAAATGAGAGACTCTAATTTTCCATTTTAATATTAAAGTCAAAATTATCAGTTTTCCATAAAACGTTCTTATCTCATATTCTTAGTTTAATGCGCTTTATTTACTTAAAAATTTAAATACATTTTATGAAACATAAAACGGAAAAAAAATTTTGTTTCAATTTTTCATTTTTTGTCTTATCAAAATTGTTATTTATGTTAATTATGATTGTGTAAAAAAGCGACTAATTTAATTCTAGCAAGCTCTTTGTTTAACATTTGTGAATCATAGTTTCGCTAGGCCTCGTAAACTTGAATTCATAATTTTGTAAAATTGAAATAGAAACAATTTAGCTAGAAGGAAAAGCAGAGTTCGAGATTTGAGATTTGTCAGATAAAAAAATACTTTTAGAAGAATTTAAGATCGCTTTCAATACCATGTTGAATGTTTATTTACATAAGGAGTGTTGCTTACATCTGGGAACCAGGATTTTTACCCAGAGACGTTTTCAGGCGAGGGGGGTATGGAGGTGCAGCCCCCCCCCTGGATCAGTGAAATCTATGATTTCCAAGGGACACTAAAAAATATAAGCCCCCCCCCCTGGACAAATTCATGAATACGTCCCTGTTTCTATCAGCAGAGAAGTCGATATCTTTCATATTTTGCATTATGTTGATAAAGTAATAAAAAATCCAAATGTTCTAGAAGATTTTAAAAGGCGAGGATTAAGTTTCAGGATTTATTACAAGAAGAGGCGGGAACGGAAATAGTTGTAAATATGAGAATTAGCGAGTCCTATGTCAAACTGAAGTAAATTGAAATGTTTTTTTTTTATTTTCAGTCTTACTCCTTTTACTGTTCAGAGCTATAGTTAAGAAGAAACAGATATTTTAAATATGTAGACGGATAAATTTTCTTCTCTCATACTTGTGCGTAAAATCAAAAATAGATAAGATACGAGGTCACAAAGTCATACCAGCATTTTGTCGCCTAATTTTGACCGTCACCCTCTGTCTAGTTTGCAACGGGCTAGAAAGTTAAAGTTAAAAACATAAATATTATCTTTAATTAACTTGGAACACAGCTTTGCATCGAAACTGAATTTGTTCAATAAAAGTCAACCTATACTCAATACTCATTATAGAACTTTAATCCAAACATCCCCGTGATTCTACCGGCCGTTCCCCAATGCAATTAATATTTGACAGAGATAAATGTTTTATTTACAAAAAGAACCAGTGAAAAAAGTACAATTTTATACGGCGAGGACAAAAAGGACTGTTAAAAAAACGCCCGATATTTTTTAATTTTCTAAAATTTGTTTTAAGATTGGTCAAGTTGATAAGATGATGAATGAATTTGGTGAAGAGGTTCTCCTGCTGTCGGATGTGGACGTTATCCTTAATGGAATGATGTCGACTGATTCGTCCTGCCTGGACGATTATTCGTCTAGCGGCGCAGGAGCTCCTCACTTCTCCTCCGACTACTCTGTGATGCATTCTTGTCTTACGCGACAGGTATATATTCGACACAAACCGAACCTTTTCAAAACCTTTTTTATCAATTAAAATGGGTCGAGAGCCGGTATTATCTGACTGAGAAATAAAATTTTCCAGAAATTCCTGAGTTTTTATTAGTTTTTGGCAGTTTACTAGACTAATTCCATGCTTTCTTCGCTTTGGTTTTATTTTGGATTTGAAATAAACAATTGGAGATGGGAACTGTTGTGTGGATGAATGGTTTCATCTTGAACGCTTGATATCGATATCTAATGGGGGCACTTTTATAGTTCAAGATCAATGCTTAATACCCAATAAAAGTTATCACTGCAGGGTATGACTACTACGGAATATCGAAGAGGATTAAAAGTTAATCCGTAGATCATGCATAATATGGAGATCAATACTTGATCCCTAGATGCAAAACACAAAAGTTCTCATCTCAAGGGATTCAATCACGCTGACAAGTCGTCTTCTATCCTGATGTAGAATATGAAAATATATCTGGCTTCTAAATATAAGGAATTTAAATGTAAAAAAAGGAACTGCTACTCATGTAATTTGAAAATCTTGTAAACCACTCTGTAACATATTATCTACAAAAATTGGATTTTTTAGTGCTGGGGTTTCTCCTTCTCTTCCCTTTTTCCCTTTACTATTCACCCATCCTTCTTTTTTCCCCTTTATTTTAAAAAATTAATTTGTGAATTGTGTAATGTATTCGTTATTTGTTAATTTTAAAAAATAAAATGTATCTATAAAACTTTGGAGGGCCAGCCAATCAAAACAACCAGAAATGGTTAGGCTGTAGCCCTGGCTAATAATTGTTTAGTAAAAAATTATAAAATGTAAAATGTATTTATTATAATGTTAGCCGAAATATATATCTATCTATCTATCTATATGAAAGATAACGGAGTTTACTTTAGATAAAGATAAGATTATTCTTGATAAATGATTAACTGCACTATACATATTGTAAAAATTAACAGCTAAAAATACCTTAATGTTTTGGATATATCTAATTTTCTAGGGGGAATTTTTTTTCAAGTGTTCTTTTTTCATGACTAAAGGTTTTTGCACTTTAAAAAGTTCCACAAAATGTTTGCAAGAACAATCTATTAAAACAAACCAAAAAAAAAACTATCTTAACTATTTAACGATTTAAAAAGAAAAGAAAATGTTCAGAATAAATAGTTTTCAAAATTTTAAAACTTATCAAATTTTTGTGGAACTTTTTTAAAGTCAAACAACTTAAATGTATAAAAAACACTACCCCCCACCCCTCTCCCCCCATGTAGGTACTACCACTGACAATTCAACTTATGATGTAAAATGGGATCTGTAAGTTAACGGAGTTTAAGTAAGAAAAAGACTGAAGATAACCTATAAATTTGTTGGAAATATTTCCTGTTTTATCAATATTGAAAACAATTTGGAAATTCTTTATCTTGTTTAATTCTCTGAACCTAAAGTTTTTGAAAACGTTCTGATTTCTAATCTTATTCAATTTTATTTAATTTTAGCGACGATGTGCCTTCAAGCAATCCAGAGAATAACAACATCAACAACACAGGATGGAATGGAGCTTCAAATGCATTCATTGCTCCTCCACAAACCGGGGTTCAAGCTCCATTTTGTCACCAAAAGAATACAGTTCCATCTCCATTATGTAATCTCACTGAGACTGAAGTTTTAGCTTCCTTTATTCCTGACAAAACTGACAAATTATTCAATTTGATAGAGACTGGACATTCAGCTACTTCCTACCAACCCTCGGAGACTGGAATCTTAGTCTCTGCCGACGATGAACTGATGTCGAAGGCTGATTACTACCAATGCTCCTATATACCTGGAGAAGAAGAACATTTCGAGTTCGAAACTCCGGACGGAAACTCCGTTCAAGATTCGATAAATCCTAATTTATCGTTTGGAAACCAGTTTTCCAGTGACATTCAAGGTAATTAGAGATTTCCTCCGGTTTTTTGTTCATTTAGGACCTTTCGATAAAAAAATTTAATTCTAAATATTTGTTTATCTTCATTTTAATAAATTATTTGTTATTGTATATGATACGATTACCATTTGATGAATCATATACGTTTTGTATTCCAATAAAAGGATGAAAGAAAGAAATTTCTAAAAAAAATGATAAATAGCAGTAAGAGGTATGATCAAATCGTCCAATGACCAAAAGAAAAAGGAATTGAGCGAAATTGACACAAACTCTGATATTCTAATACTTAAACTTTTTTGCAACTCAATGTCATGGACCTTAGATATTTCAAATTATGAATTCTGTTAGATACAATAATCTCAGTTTAAAATATCAAAGGCTGCAAAGATAAAGGAATTAGAAAATTTGAGTTTGTGGCAAATCGACTCAATTGCTTTTTTATTGTAAATTTTTGTCCATAGGTTATTCTGCCAATATCCATGACGGTCAAGTTAAGCCTGGTCCTGGAGGTTCAATTCATGCCAGTTTTTCTCCAAGCTCTATCTTCAGCACATCATCTAGCTCATCCTCCAGTACACCAAGCTCTGGCTGTGCATCAGCTTGCAGTACACCAAGTTATGGCTGTGCATCAGCTTGCAGTACACCAAGTTCGGGCTGTACATCTCTCATTTCTGCTGAACAACAACTTTTATTAGTTTATCCTGATGAAGTTGGTGTTAAACCGTTCTATGCCCCTTGTATCATGGTACAGCATGTACCAAACAGTGCAGTACATGTTGGCCAAACTCCTGTACATGGAGTTGTTCCTCAAACTGGAGTTCATCCCAATGGCGTGTCGAAAAATGCTTTAAGGTGCAAAGAATACAGAAAAAGAAGGTTAGGCTTTAAATAATTTTAAAGACATCACATAAATAGATAAAAAAACAATTATAAATAAAAATATTAATAAGAAACAACCCTTCAATCCATGGAAACAACCTTATAAGTTGTAAGAGATTTTAAGATTTTAAATACTTTGATCAATTCAAATCAAAAATATTGCATGACTTTTTAATTCTTTTGTTCAATTTTGATGCAATTTATCACACCTAATATTTCCCGTTGTAGGGTGATTAAGTGACTTTATCGCCCTACAACAGGGCGAAAAGTAACTTTTTCAAAGAACTCTATCTAATGAAGGAGTTCCTCCTACTCTGTGTGGCTATAGAGATTGCCCTCATTTTAGTGTCGTGTGTATTAGCAATATTGCTGTACGGATTAACTGCTGCAACTGTGGCTTTAATTAATCGTGTATCTCTGGATCGGATCAGGCTCAAGAATAGAAAGAAGAAACCAAGAGTAGAAGCAATAAGGATGGGGAGCTTGCTGCAAAATGATGATGATGAAAATAGGGATAGATAACCCTTTTGTTCAACACTCTGCTCCCCCTTCCCCATTTGTAATAAATATCAATAATAATTAATATGTCTAGCGGTCAGTTGTATTTTTACCTGTACCATTAAACCCAAAATATAGATTAGTTGGATATGAACTCTGTTTGAAGTAATAGTTCTCTGGTAGAGAGTATAGAGTTTGAGCGAATTGTATCTCGATTAATAGATACTGACGACTATAGAGAGAGTTATATCTGGACTGATATAGACTTAAAGAACATCGGAGTAATGCATTTATTACATATAGATAATATATTTTTACAATATCTAAAGGATGAAAAAGGAGAAGTGTAAACAGAATGAGCTGGATAATAATAATAATAATAATAATAATAATAATAATAATAATAATAATAATAATGCAATGCCGGATTTACAACAGTACCTGAAAAACTTTGTCAGACCAAGAATGAAATAGATATCTTTGTTTTTTCTCACAATATTTTCCCTCAAAGGCTTTTGTTTAACTTCCCCCCCCCCTGGATAAAAAACATTTTCTTGAGAAAAAAACATATTATTTAATTGTTTAGGAACTCCTCGATGAAGAATGATCTAACTCTGAAGATGATAATTGATAAAGTTAATCTGATTTTAAACAAGTAACACCTCACACGTGTTAGGGCGAATGCAAGCATTTATTATCATATAATAAACAAGCTTGGGAACTAGTGCGTAGGATCCGGATATGTTGCATCTGATTATCAAAAATGTCCTTATCTCTCTAATGTTCATCAAGTTTTAGCAGAAAAATAAGCGAAAAATAGAAGGAGGAAAATTCTTTTTTTAATAAATTGGTAATTCTTTAAAAAAAAACCCCATTTTTTTCAGTGCGGATCCAGGATTCGTATCTGCATCAAAATTAAATGGATCCTAAGCACTGTATGGGAACCTAGCTTTGCTGGAAAACAAGTAAACCAACTTAGCTTAGATTTTTAAACCAAGCTAACAACATTAACATGGTTTTAATAAGTTTCCCAACCAAGGAAAGTCGGTCTAGGCGTTCCTGAAGTTTTGATCAGATATACAAACAAAAAACAGATTATTATTTTATGTAAAATGATATAAAACTTTGTTTTAAACCATGCTAAAATCCCTTATTATCGTTCATCAGTAATTTTTTGTCTAGGTTAAAACAAATGTGCGAGTTTTTTATATCGCTTGGGATCTACAGAAACTGAGTGTTTGCCACAAACTATAATGTTGTTATCCATATATCTTTGCAACCCGAGGTTGCAGACATTTTATATTTCAAACTATGAATTCGATTAATCAAATAATCAAATTAAAGGTTTACACCATCCAGTTGTAGAGATAACGGGATTAGCAAATTGGAGTTTGTGACAAAAACTCAATTCCGTTTTATTGCACGTTTTTTCCATATGTTATTCCTTTCTAAGGGCCATTCTTTTCCCCACTCTAGTTGTATCAAGATCTAATCATCTACTGTAGTTATTAAGATCTAATAATCTACTGTAGTTGCTTCAATTAATTGTTAACAATTAAAACGTTTTAAAAAGTCGTCTTCATTATATTACCGTTTAATCACCTACTTCCGTAGCTCACCAGTAGACAGAACTTTTGTGAATCTCATGATCATTCATTGATCTCCATCTTTTGCAAATTTACGGTGGTCATACCACGCAGAGACAACTCTAAATAAGGGATCAAGCATTGATCCTCAAATTTAAAAGTGTCCACATTGGATATCGAGATCAACGTTCAAGATTAACAAGATCCACTCAAGAGTTCTGATCTAGAAATGTTTTAGGTTTGAATCACTGTTTACAGGGGGGATTTTTTTTCTAATGTTTTTGGTCCCTTTCTTAGAAAATTCTTTTTTTCCAAACTTTGCAAGATAAGGTTGTGGATTGCTGGATTGGATAAGTACANGGTATTATTTTAAAATACATTCCTCTGACTTTGTATTTTTAAATGTAGTGTTTATAATCGTTGTAAAAATTGTAATTTAAATGTAAAAACGGAGAAGTGTTGAATTATTCAACCAGTTTTATTTCAAAATTATCTTTGATTTTGTTTAAAATATGTATGTACATTACATTCTAAATTGGAAACTTCTGATATATGTTTGTTTATTTCAGAAATCAATTAGAATACACTAGAATAAACTATGGAAAAGTTTTCGAAAGAATTTGAGGTAATTAATGCTGAAGATTATTCATCAATTATCATTTATCATATCAGTGCAGTGGAGAGAGAATGGAATTGAGTCTTTGCCACACACTCAGGTTTTCAAATCCCTATATGTGCAACCCAATTAAATAATCTAGGTTTGAAATATTAAAGGTTTACACCATCAGATTGCAAAGATATAGGGATTAGAAAATTGGAGTTTGTGACAAAAACTCAATTCCGTTTTATTGCACGTTTTTCCCATATGTTATTCCTTTCTAAGGGCCATTCTTTTCCCCACTCTAGTTGTATCAAGATCTAATCATCTACTGTAGTTATTAAGATCTAATAATCTATTTTTAGCCTTTTTTTGATTATTCTTATTATCAGCTGGATGGTATTTTGCCTTCTCCCCATGAAGCATTTAATCCTGAAGAATTCCTGAACGGTCAGAATTCCGTCTCTACTCCTGTACCCTGCTCTTCCCTACATTCTGTGTCCCATCAGGGCCTTACGTGTCGGGTAGGTTTAAATCTTTAATCTTATAATGACCGTTATAAGGGACGGTCTTTGTAATCTTAAAGGAACATGTAAGTGACCCTCCATGCAAAGATGGTAATGTCCGATTCACAACGGTACTTTTAAAAGCTTCGTCTGATCAAGTATAAGAATCAATGTTTATAATTTTAAAAACTCGCAATTCAAAATTGTGGTTTCTGAACAAAAATAACTTCCCATTTACCCTCCCTTTTACAACAAATAACTTCCCATTTACCCTCCCTATTACAACAAATAACTTCCCATTTACGGCCTCCCGTTAACAACAAATAACTTCCCATTTACCCTCCCTATTACAACAAATAACTTCCCATTTACGGCCTCCCGTTTACAACAAATAACTTTTTCCGTTTACAACAGTATTCTTGAAACCTTAACATGATGAATTAGGTGGAAGATAACGTCTATTCTTAGCTTAGTAAGTGTTTAATTCTTCTAACTTTTACATTGTTTCTGAATAACGAAATTAGCAAGTTACTTGCGCATTGTGCCAGTCATTTTTGTTAAGGACGCAACAAATAAAGATAATCAGCTTTCAAAAACAGAACATGGATATGCCGTGATCTGACAACTCCTTTAAAGGTACCTTTGGGAATCGGAAATTCCACTCTGTCGCTTGAAATACCATTCCATTACAGTCCCTTAAAGAGTCTAAAAGAATTTTCAATGAATAATATCTTTACGAGAAATTTTTTTGTAGCCAACCTAATTTCCAATGAATTGGCTAAACCAACAATCTCTCAAACTAAATTTCTAAGAATCAAATTGAGTTCAAATTTCAAATAAAATTTATTAAAAACTGATGGAAAAGTTAAATTTTTTAAAATTGCTAAATTAAAAAGATAAAACTGAAATGATAAGATTGAATGGTTAGAGTTGTTAGAGTTAGATGTTTTCCTATTTTCAGCGACGATGAGAACTCTGTGTTTGAAGACGGTTTTCTAAACAACAACAATGCTCTTTGCTCAGGTATTTCAGGGGTAAAAATTTATAAGGAAAATAAT